CAACATCTTCCTTTGGCTGAGAACTAATAGGAGCTACTGTCTCAGACTTTTCTCTTTCCCTTCATATATCTCTTGTGGTCTTGTGTAAAATCATGTAGCCTGGGATTTCTCTTTGTATAGAACTTCCTAGAAATTTTCTTAGGACCTTTGTTTTTTTCAGGTTGTAAGGGAACGATTCTGGTCACTTTAAATTGCTTAAAGAAAATATTTTTACTTACAAAGGAAAGAGGAGTCTCACCCAATTTGCGTGTTCACCATCTGTGATGCTTTTCCTTGGTAATTCATTTACTGTCTCTCGCCTACAAGGTCCTTATCTTAAACAGCATTTACAAAATCAAGGATTTGATGTGCCAGTTGTAAGTTTAAAAAGCAGCGAAATTAAAATATAAATATTAAAAAGGAAAGTTCCCTGCCTACCATCTATGATCATTTCCCATGTTACTATGAGCCTCTCACTTTGTGAAATGTTCACCTAGAAGAGGGTCTTTGGAAGAGATGCATGTAGGGGATTTTATAGAAAGAAATCCACAGGGTGTTGGTGTTAAAGAGAAATCTGGGGTCCCAAATCAAGAGACCCCGACTCACATTAAGGCATCCCAGCAAAGTAAATTTTACTTCTGTACACAAGGGTGTGTGGGCGCCAAAATGATCTTTGCTTTCTACCCTAACACAGGGACACTCGGCTGTTCCCCACTGGCTGAGGTTTGGCCATACATTCTATACCTAACTGGCTAGTTTGAAAAACGGCATGAATAGGGAAAACAAAATAAAACACTAAGAGGGTACAGGGGAAGGGGAGGAGGAGGGTTAACAGTTAAGTACTTCAGGAATTGTGACAATGAGTCAGGGTTTTAGACATACGGTTGACCTAGGAAGGAGGTTACATCTGGCTGAAAAAACAGGTATTTCTTAACACAGGAACTAAGGACCAGGGGCGAGGACATGAGGGGACAGGAGCACAACCCTTATTTTAGTTTGAATAGAAAAGGCCAGAGATAGTTCGTCAGTAAAGTGCTTGTTTGCAAGCACAAGGACCTGAGTTTGATCCTTGAAACTCATTCAAAAGGCAGGGTGTTGCAGCATGTGCATGTAAAGGCAGGGTGTTATAGCATGTGTATGTAAAGGCAGGGCACTATAGTATGTACATGTAAAGGCAGGGCACTGCAGCATGTGCATGTAAAGGCAGGGTGTTGTAGCATGTATAGTAAAGGCAGGGTGTTATAGCATGTGTATGTAAAGGCAGGGCACTATAGTATGTACATGTAAAGGCAGGGCACTGCAGCATGTGCATGTAAAGGCAGGGTGTTGTAGCATTTATAGTAAAGGCAGGGTGTTATAGCATGTGTATGTAAAGGCAGGGCACTATAGTATGTACATGTAAAGGCAGGGCACTGCAGCATGTGCATGTAAAGGCAGGGTGTTGTAGCATTTATAGTAAAGGCAGGGTGTTATAGCATGTGTATGTAAAGGCAGGGCACTATAGTATGTACATGTAAAGGCAGGGCACTGCAGCATGTGCATGTAAAGGCAGGGTGTTGTAGCATTTATAGTAAAGGCAGGGTGTTATAGCATGTGTATGTAAAGGCAGGGCACTGCAGCATGTGCATGTAAAGGCAGGGTGTTGTAGCATGTATAGTAAAGGCAGGGTGTTATAGCATGTGTATGTAAAGGCAGGGCACTATAGTATGTACATGTAAAGGCAGGGCACTGCAGCATGTGCATGTAAAGGCAGGGTGTTGTAGCATGTATAGTAAAGGCAGGGTGTTATAGCATGTGTATGTAAAGGCAGGGCACTGCAGCATGTGCATGTAAAGGCAGGGTGTTGTAGCATGTATAGTAAAGGCAGGGTGTTATAGCATGTGTATGTAAAGGCAGGGCACTGCAGCATGTGCATGTAAAGGCAGGGTGTTGTAGCATGTATAGTAAAGGCAGGGTGTTATAGCATGTGTATGTAAAGGCAGGGCACTGCAGCATGTGCATGTAAAGGCAGGGTGTTGTAGCATGTATAGTAAAGGCAGGGTGTTATAGCATGTGTATGTAAAGGCAGGGCACTGCAGCATGTGCATATAAAGGCAGGGTGTTGTAGCATGTGCATGTAAAGGCAGGGTGTTGCAGCATGTGCATGTAAAGGCAGGGCACTGCAGCATGTGCCTGTAAAGGCAGGGAACTACAGTATGTACATGTAAAGGCAGAGCACTGCCTCAAAGAAACAGATGGAGACTGACAGAGGAGACACATAGCTAAGGTTGTCTGCTAGGTTCCACGTGCATATACACATAATATACATGCATCTACACATATGAGCACCCACACAAACATGTATACACACATATATTTTAAAAATCCACAGCTTTTCCCAGTTAGCAAAGCAGTATCACCAGTCTGTTCACAGTAGCTAAGGAGGTTAAAGAAATTAAATTATCCTGTTAATAACTAGAATATACAAAATAGGAAAACATTTGTATCATTATTAAATCAATTTTTTTTTTAAAAATAAGGCACTTGACATCTTTTAGAAATGTGACTGGTTATCTGTTCAGTCCTTAGATGATCACACCAGACCACTGGAGTCTGATGAGGACCAGAAGCTATTACAGTTCAAACAAATGGCATCCATCTTCCCACCCCAACCCCAAATCTTCCATCTCCAAGGGCAGAGAGACGCTCAACTGTGATCCCTGATAATCCATTAACCCTCTAGTGAAACATTAAACAAACAGCCATCTCAGATGCTTCTGCCACAAGGGGAATCGAACCTCCTAAGGTCTGTAGACAGACTGACGGACCAGATAGAAGGGAGCATACACCAGCAGAAAAATTTAACAAATTATGAAGTCACCAGCAAGAGTGCTGCAGAAACTGGATTTCCCCCCAGGGTGTCTACTATAGAGATTTTAGTTATGGAGAGTTGAAGCTTTAGAAAGTACAGCTCTCAAATAGCTCGTGTTTCCCCCCACTCCAATCCCCTCCCG